TGAATTGTTCAAATCATAAAAACTTTGGTTAGGTAAATAGCCTTCGTTCAACCACTATGAAAAATCAGTACAGCACACAGCCAGAAGAATAACAGTGGAAAAAAAGAATAAAACCTGTTAGGTTATTTAAAAGAAACTACCCTACTCAGCTTTTAACTTCTTTACCTTCTCTATAGTACTTAACAACAGCTTTAAAGAAGTTATAAATACATACCCATACTTCATTCTCATCCTATCATTCTCTGGGTTACAGTAAAATCTTTCCAAGTGCTCCTGGGAATCATTGGATACACTCTGCCACTTTTGGGTAGTTGTCCTCTTGATCTGCCAATGATAGGGCAAGACCGTGTGGTGTTTCAAACAATCCCTGCCATAAATACACATGCCTTGCAAAAAGTCCATGCAAATTTCAATTTCGTTCTCTTGGTGAGTGTGGTACTGTAGCTGGTTCACCAACTCAAATACAAGATCAAGGGAGGCCTCCTCACTTTTGTCCTGAAAGAGCTCGGTACTCAACTTATCACTGGTGTCCAAAATGTATTGAATTGTAAAACTGTTGTCTTGGAAAACCCCTGGAACATAATCCATGACTTTGTCTATGCAGTCAGGACTAACGGGAACATCACTTGAAACTGGGTGCAAAAGGGCAGTCTGGAAGTGCCCTGCTGTAGAATCGGCCACTGTCCCACTAATGGTTTCTGATGGAAAGTTGTGATCCTGGATTGGAATCACTTGTTCTGGAGCATCAGTAGAAGGGCGAGTTTCTGGTATTTGGTCCCCGACATTTGTCCCCTCAGGAATCAGCACAGACATATTGTTTTCTGCTGGTGGACAGGATGTGTTGATTTCCAGGGGTTTTTTCACCATAGGTTCATGTAAGCTGTTCTCATCTGCATCCTGGTTTCTGGATCTAAAAACCCCACCAAGTGAGCCAGATTCTAGCAAAGTGTTTAATATTGGCCTCAAAGACCTCAGGGTTCCAGTTCCCAATCTTTTCTGATCCTTTTTCTTAAAACAAGTCTTCAATGGAGTGATCTTCTCAGACAGTCTCATTTGGCATGAAAAGTCATCAGGAGGAGAGGGAGGCTGCACTACACAGTCTGGCTCAGGTTCGGTGGTTTCCATTTCCATAATGTGGATTAGCTCCAATTGCTCCTCAGAGTCTAAAATCCTACCAGGAAAGGAAAGAAGATGATCATTTACAAGCTGACAACAACTGGATACCATTCATTCATCAAAATGTTTAGTTTTAGTCTGTAAGTTCCTGAAATCACTCCTCTTACATTGTATTTCATCTTTTTAGATTTTATTGAGAAATCAAGGCTCCAAAACAGCCAGGGCTATGCCCACAGAAGGTAAAAGTAAAAGAGAAAGAGTATTTTAGGCACTTGAAATTTATTTGTGGACTTAATATACAATTTGTACTTCTGCTGGGGTATGAATTTTTACTCTAAGTCTAGGGTAGAATGGGAGGGGGAGAATGAGGGGTAGAAATAAGTGTGTCTAACTGATGACAGCAGGGAAACCACATCTTCACTGCTCTGTGGTTCTTTTCACAGTTATTTATCGCCTTTCTCATGAGGTGACAAAACTGTTTCTTTGTAAAAAAAAAAAAAAATAGTTCATCAAATGAAGGATAAACTTCAAAGTTAAATAGTGAGTGAATTTGGGGTGTGAGGATATACTCAGAAAATAGGGGCTCTCAAAATGTTATATGGGAGAAAGCCAGGAGCCTGTTGAAGCATTTCTATTCAGTTAAATCCTTACTTAAGGTCATCTGTGACTTTAGGGAAAACAAGTATAATGAAACCAAATTTACCATAGGCTAATTGTTATAAACAAGAGTTAAGTTCATACAACAAAATGATATTTTTGATGACCTGCTGTATTCAGAAAGTTTCAATATAAACCCCAAAGACATTAAGGGTCTACTTTTGCAATCCCCAAAACATTACCACTGCTGGAGGAGGAATACCAGGGCTTGTTTAGCAACAGAAAGTAAATCAGCAACAACTACAGCACACACTGTTTTAGAAACCAAACACAACTTCATAAAGAGACCCCTTTGTCCTTGTCTTCAAAAAAGTTACACATGTATTTTTTAAAGGCAAATGAAGGAATATTGTTGAAAATAACATAAGAATATAAAACACAAGCCACATTTTCAGATTCCTTATGAACTACTGAAAGAGAATAAAAGTTCTTTCTTCAAGGAATCAGACCCTTTGGGAAAAAATGGAACAAAGAATAAAGCCAAGGAAACTATAAAATGACAAATGGTGAACAAAGTATAAAGCAAAGGAAACTTTGTAAAATGACAAATGGTATCACCTCCATGATCTAGCACTCATTAATTAATTCTGAAAATATTTATTAAGCATTGTGTTGGGTGGAAAAGGATAGGTGATGAGCAATTAATATTCTTCTCTCTTATCCAATGGACTGAAAGAGATATTTGATGCATGGACCCATGACTTCATCAAGCATGCAACCCAGGTGCCCATTACAGTGCCTAACACAATGCAAACAGTGGGTACTCAGGATATGTTTTTGTCTGAATAACTGAAGAAAAAGAACCTAAAGTGCCTAGTTCTATTCGTCTTTATGGGTCAACAACAACACAAAATAATAAAATTGAGTCCCCAGAAAAGTGAATATTAAAGGTCTAATTGGATTCTTGAATCTGTGCGTGTAAAAAGTGCATAATGATCAAACGCAGAAAAATGATTTAAAAGAAAAACAAAAAAAAAACCTCCCACAAGGTGTTAGCCTCCATGATAAGTACAAAAGGAAAAGGTGGAAAGAGTTCAGTGTGAGCTGCCATTGTTAGGGAAAAGCTTCACGAAGAAGGAGGGACTTGACAGAAGACATAAATCAACTGGAAAGCGGCCAAGCCAGGCGTTATTATTCATCATTCAGTGCTCCTGCCTCAAGGCACAATTGGCACAGACTGTGGTATTCCCTCTCCGCCACACACACCAAACCGGCCTGTGCCATCCTCCACACACGCACGCACCCGCACGCACACACACGCACGCACGCACACCCTCCTATCACACCCTCTCCGGGCACAACAGACCTTAATCCGATCTTGAGTCACACACTTCAACTTTTCCCATGATTGTCCCCTGTCACACTCGGAAATAAACCTGAGGCGGCAGAGACCTGGAGGAGTGGCTGGAGTGGGGAAGTCAACAGAACCGAGTTCCTCAATTAAAGTTTGCATACCAACAAATAGAGATCGGCAGGGCACCTCCTGGGGCCCCCCTCCGCAGGCCACTTCCTGGGGTCCCCCTCCGCAGGCCCCCCACCACTCCGCCCCTCACCTCTAGATGCCCCGATTTCTCTGGCACGCTCGGCTCGGAGCCCGCTCCACGGGAATCGCCGGCCCCAAACTTGGGACTCGGAAGGCCAGCCGCCGCTGCCCGACACCC